ACCTATGTAGTTGCTGTCTTACTAATTCTAGAAACTAATAGGCTTACTCAATATTTGAACCAAACAGATAGCAGTAGCAACGAGTAAACAATACTCATTTTATCTATCATGGCTAAATTCATTATTTCATTATATATTTTCTGAGGCCGGGTATGTGAATGTTGAGGATGTAGTCCTCCCAATTAATGCACGTAGGGTTGAAGTCAAATCCACCACCATCCTCTCTTGCTGCCATTCGCAAACTTTCTGAGTTTGTATCATCGAAACTGTACATGTACATTGCATAACAAATTAACATGTTTTTACAACTATCTGATGACAAGTGTATTAGCTAGCTAGTATGCCAGAATGCGAATTACGGATATCAGTAAGCCAACACACTTACATGCCCTTGAACAATGCGTAGGGTTCATAGAGTTCTACCAATCGCATCACCAATTTGATCATTCGGTGAAGATTCTCATAAGCAGCATGAAAATGCTTGCAAAAAACTGCATTTACGAGACCCAATCCCTTCAAATCAAGAGGAAAGAAAGACATATTTAGCTCTTGGATGATAACAAATTAAGTTAATAGACATAAACTAAGGAAGGAGATCGATAATACTGCTGTATAACAATTTTGCAATAGACCTTTAATGGAAGCACATATCTAAGAGTCATGTAATTTCTGAATCTAGCCATGCTGCCCAAGAATTTAACTTTGGTGACCCGAACAGGCTTTCCCTTTCTGTTGATCCATGGATTTTGAGTGAAATAGCGAATGATAAGATCATGAAGATTTGAGATGTTAAGAGGGTTTCTAAGCGAGGTGCCAACATGGTAAATTTTTGTATTTTCTGACGAACGTTGATGTGCATGAGCCCACAGAGCCATAAGCATTGAATTTACCACCATGTCTACTGGCATCTGCATAAAGTTGGCAACATAAATACCCAATAAGTTGATCTATGTACACATCAAAGTAGTTAATTAGAGATGAAGCATCACTATATATGATTAATAATTGATTAACTCACGACATCCATGATTGTCTCAGGTTTACCAAGAAAACATTTGACTCTGCCCTTCCCGACTGTAGCAATAAAGCTATCAATAGTTCTGATACCAGAAAAAAACGAATTACATATAATGATTGTGTTTAAAAACCCAAAATAATTAGTTTTTATATTAATCTGCTTACCTTAAACCTTCAATGTAACCGGGAAATGGCTCTTTATAAGTACTGGTTATTATCGTAGGACGCATAATAATAAGGGGCAAGTTATCTTTGAAGCTCCCTAAAAGCATTTCCCCCATTGCCTTTGTAAATACGTAAGTGTTCGGCCATCCATACAACTTTGCCCTAGAAATATATATACAAAGTGAAAATTATTAACTAGCCGAATAGTTAAGAGAAATGATCATCCTTGAGAATATGTTAGATAATCTGAAAATGTGTGCCTTTTCTAGTATTGTAGGTTTATCTTTTGTTTTCTCCAAAATAAACACAAAGTCTGTGTCTCTCTGATTTAATAAAAATCAGAAGAAAAAATGGATTTGTAAGGATTTATCTTTCTGTATATATGTATAGCATTCTCCAAACCCCAAACTTTAATATTCTTTAAAATAAAAAACTTAATCAGTAAAAAAGAAAGTAAATTAACCTATTAATTAATTTGTTCAGAATTTTTGAGTTTTATAGTTTTTCGTCTTACTTTGCCTTGAATTATAATTAACTTGATAATCTTGTTCTGATGAAAATAAAAAATTTTATATTTAAATTGTATGACATATGAGTCGAGTAGTGGGTTAAAGGATGAAAAAAAGTTGTTTGTAATTGTATAACTCAAATTAATTATAATTAACTTGGATGTGTGAATGAATTCATAAAAGGAAGAGGTTACCTTTTCAATCCAAAATCCTTCATGGCCAATGCAACTTCTTGTGTTCGGAGTTGATTCATTTTCTCATCTACCAATTTCTTTTCCACTTCAATATCTAATCTACATGTTCCGTTGAGGCTCTCACCCATGCAAAATGGTTTTTCCATGATGAGTCCAGTTCCTTCACCACACACATAAGCTAGAAAAAGCACACATTAAATATTCTAAAGATGATTAATATTTTTTATAATAAGAATCCTATGAAAATCAAGAGGCAATTATAATTAAGTACACAAGGTATGAAAACGGTATACTTGAATATTA